GTAGCACTGACCTCACATCGCAGTTGAAAATTCGGATCCTATTTTTCATGCTGAGTGCTGAGTGTTGACCTCCATACAGACTTGAGAGAAATGAAAGTTCTCCTTGCTTTTCCAATGAGGATATCATCAGTTCCATCCTCCTGTAGTTGAAACGAGGCTTCCCAGGCAGGTGGGTACAGGAGATTACTTTCTCCGAATTTCCCTCAATTATGAGGACTGACTGTTGTCTGTTGTTGTTGCCATTGCTGTTGGCCAGGAACCTTTGTCGCCTACATCTTTTTTCTCTATCTTCACATGAAGGCCTCTCTTTGATGCTTCCTCTTCTGTGAACTTGTTTCTTTCCAATTTCATATCTTCCAGTTTGTGGGAACTCAGACATATATATGTTATAGACGAAATCCAGATCCTCGAAGATTTTGTCTGGGTCCACTTTATGCCTATCTCCTCGTTGTCCGACCGCTGTCTGTCACATTATCCAGTGTACCGCTCCCTACCAGGAAACTCAGTGCAGATAGTAGACAGCTGGCCAGACTTCTCTTACTCCTGTCTTCACTTAGAAGGATTCTATGAGTTTCTCGTTGTGGATTACTTGGCATTCAGCACTGTCGTACAACTATTGGATGAGATGAATAATTGTCGGCGGCGTCTATCCATGAACGCTGTTGATCATATACTCATCTTGATTTTCCCTTGAACTTTATTCGTTCAAACTTTTCTGCTCACTGTATTGTTTGTCGGTGATTCAGTGACAGACTGCTGAACAACTACATACTTGGTCAGGTTTTGATTCCCTACTGATTTACTTGTAAATCTTGCTTAGCTTGTAGCAAGCCTGGTAAGGTAGGATAATTGAACATGAGACTAGCAAACCTACCGCATAAAAAAAGAAACACCAATGCAACAGAAACTTGGAGGATCTGGATTTCGCTGATAGCATACAAATGTCTGATTTCCCACAAACTGGAAGATACGAAAGTGGAAAGCAACAAGTTCACAGAAGAGGAAGCATCCAGATAAGATAGGCCTTCGGGTGGACATAGAGAAAACAGAGGTAGGTAATGAAGATTCCTGGCCAACAGCAACAGCAATAGCAATTACAGCAGACAACAATCAGTCAACATAAATGGGAGAAATCCGAAGGAAGCAACCTCCTTTACCCACCTACCTACCTAACTACCTGGGGAGCATAGTTTCAACTACAGGCTGATGGAACTGATGAGGATATCATCGAAGTGAGGATCGGGAAAGCAAGGTGAGCTTTCATTTCTCTAAGGTGTGTGTGGAGGTCAACACTCAGCACTCAGAACGAAAAATAAGATCTGAATTTTCAACTTCAATTTGAAATCAGTGCCTTTCACATTACGGATCAGAGACTTGGCGCGTTATGAAGAGCATTTCTGTTATGTACTCGTCGCTAAATTATTATTATGTACTGGTCGAGAATTTAATAGTCCTGACGCAAGAAGGCGGAAATCAGAAGACCACTAGGTTTGCGATGATACTTCTATTTTCCAAACACAAGGAGAATGCAAAAGTGGTATCACACCAAAAAAGTCACACAATATTGTGTGAGCGAAATATATATGAATGTCCAGAAAAGTGTGTGAACAAATCAATAGACAGTCTTAACATGAATGGCTAATTATAATGAACGTGAGCATAGATAAAACAGAGATAATGAAGATTCCTAGCCAACATCAACAACACCAACAGACCACAATGAGCATAAATGGGAAGAACCTGAAAGAAACAACCTCCTTCACCTACCTGGGAAGCATCGTCTCAACTACAGGCGGAACTGACGAGGACATCAAAGCCAGAATCGGAAAAGCAAGACAAGCTTTCATTACTCTCAAATCTGTGTGGAGGTCAACAGCAATCAGCATCAAAAATAAGATCCGGATTTTCAACTCCAATGTGAAGTCAGTGCTACTATACGGATCAGAGACTTGGCGAGTCATAAAGAGCATCTCAAACAAACTTCAAACCTTCATTAACAACTGTCTCCGCTCAATACTCAAGATCAGATGGCCAGAAAAGATCAACAACAGGGATCTCTGGGAGCGAACCAACCCTGCAGGAACCGATTGTGAAACAAATAGGCAGAAAGAAATGGAGATGGATTGGCCATACGCTGAGGAAACCATCAAGTGGCATCACTAGACAAGCCCTCGAGTGGAACCCGAAAGGGAGGTGGCGAGTTGGTCGTCCAAGGGTGACTTGGAGGAGGTCATGCGAGGAGGAGATGAAAGCATGTGGACAGACCTGGAGCAGGTTGAAAAAGTTGTCAGAAAACCGAAGTCAATGGAGGTGCGCAGCTGAAGCCCTATGTTCCTCTAGGAACTAAAGGATACAATAATAATAATAATAATAATGAAGTATTGATCCATATATACATAGCAAAATATAGCAGACATGTCAACAACCACCATATATGGATATATGTCACCAAGCAACGGACTGTCAACAAACACTCATATTATATATAATATAAGGGGAATATACATTGTTAAAGGAGACAGGTTCATCAAAGTGAAATGGTCACAGACTAAGCGAGCAAACAGAAAGAGAGATCACCATACACACACACATATATATGTGGATACATATCAATTTCGAACAAACCTCAGGCCTTCATCAACAGCCGTTTTTGCTGAATAATTCACTCAAGATCAGATGGCGGCCAGAAGAGGTCAACAACAGGGAGGGATCTGTGGCAATTAGCGAATCAGCCCAGCTGGAACAGATTTTGGGACAAATACGTAGGAAGAAATGAAAGTTGACTTGCCAAACTCTGAGAAAAGGATCAAGTGACATCACACGACAGGCCAGCACTCGAGTGGAACCCGAACGGGAAGCGGTGAGTTGGTCTCCAGTTAGAGGGTGGGGCAACATGCTCAAGGAAAGCGCATTTGTGTCTCTAATGCAATTTTAACCATAAGCTTTCCTAAACCTAACTATACTCTATTCCTAAGCAGCTCGTATCTTTCCTTGAACCAACCATAATCATAGTGTTTTCCTAACCTAAACTTAAGCCATCTGGTATCCCTAAATTTCGTCATTATCACTAAATATCCTACTTTGCAGGATATATATCGTATATTATTTACCTTATTGCCAGCAGTAGAATCCATCATAAGCATTTCGTCCTATTCAGGACTCGTCATTGGATGTACTAGCATCCCTTGGTGGTGAGGGCACTTCCAAGGGAGCTTGTACCCAGCATCCATCCTGTAGGCTACTAAGCACAAGTTCCACCTTTTTCACAACGGATATGCGTTATGATTGTCGTTTAATATGTCTTGGGGTGATATGTATTTCTCTATCCTTTGTGGTCTTACCATTTAATGTAATATGCCAAGTACAATAGCATCTTTAACCTTAGAGATAATATAAATCTTAAACTGTCTGATAACTTTCTACTATTTCGCTGTTTGTTGATCGAAATGCATAATTTTGGTTTCGGCTACTCAAGGCTGACACTGATCGATGACATTAATGCATGATCGATGGGTAAACAATAGCCGGATCTAGGACAACTCCAGCTTTGACAATAGAAGTTAAGTTGAGGGAAAGATGGAAGTTGGGATTTCAAGAATATTCAGACATATAATAGAAAACTAACACTGTATCCGTTGAAACAGAGAAAGAGAGTTAGGCTTGACTATTCTGAAAGAGTATGTGAGTGAAGCTCTCCATCCCATCTTCTTCATTTATTGATGGCAAATAACCTAAACGTCTCTTCATCCATATATTGGTTGTTCTTAAAGACCAGTAAGTAGTTCAGCGAAGAGTCTCTTTTTTCGTCGAATTCATTTTCATAGCTGTGCAATCGAAAATATATATGGTTGTTTAGTATGTATGTATACATTAAATTTACCAAATGAGAATACACCTAGTAAGTTCAGATGAATTTGATGTTGATATAAGAGGGTAGTAACAAACGTGGTGAATTGTCACAAGCGATTGTTAAAGAAGAGTTACGTAATAACATGAATAGTTCTATGAAAGAGTTGTGCTCAGGGTGTACATGAAAAAAAATAACTTGCGGAATTAGGCAAGAGTTTTAAGTAGTTAGAAAAATAAGCATACAAGCAAAAGTTCAGTCAACTCAACAGAGTTGTTATCATGAGGGTAGAAGTGGCTGAATAATTTTCTTTTGTATGCTGCTGTTCTGCTTCTTCTAACAGAATGGCTAAGGCTTCTGCAATGCAAAGAAGACGGAAACGTATTATCTTCACTTTGTAGATTAATTTGAAACAGGAGGCGTTTGTTGAGATGGAATGACCAGTGTTGACGAGATGTTCGATTATTGTACTGCTAATATGGCCGCTACTTCCTTTCTACATTCACACTGGATAGTGTTCTTTGATCCTTTTTTGAAAGGGTAGCGCTCCGGAAGACCGATCTACTTGGCTTCAAAGCAACAGCTGAACTGATATATACACATAGAAATGGTCAGGTGCGAAATCTTGTCCTTTGGGCTTCTGCAGACCAGCAAGCGACCTGAGAACAGTACTCTCAATGTTGCCGCAAATAAAGTTTTTTTTATGAAGTGGAAATTCTCCTCCTAAAAACATCACTGAATAGGTCATCTTTGAAGTCAAAGTTTATATAAAGTGTCTTTTTTGGCACGGATGGCATCTGTTGCTCTTGGGTCTTCTGTTTGATGTTTTTCTCCATGAATCCTGATGGATAACCCCGTTTTTGTCTGAAGATTTCTTTCAGGAAGTGTAGTTCTTCTTGCTCCAGGTTATCAGAGCTTGTGGATGCATCGTTCTTAAAATTATCTCTGAGATACGAATTAAGGCTTAGATATGACAGTCAGCAATCACTGACTGCTCTAATGTGAACTGTCAACAGTCTACCGACCTGAGGAGAACACAAACAACCTCTAATGTCGAAAAATTACAAGTAACACGCTATCTAAGGGATAAAGAAAGCATCTTAATTCAACAAAAAATGCAATAAAACTGATTATTATTATTATTATTACTCACTTGATAATAAAAATTACTGTTATATTCAATCAACTGGATAGGATTGACAGATAATTTTGAAGTCCAATCGATTATTTGAGATTTATACGTGTCTAAATGATCTACGTCTAAATTGAATGGTTCTGTTGGATAACGTGATTTCCATAGGTCACTAGCCTTGTGAGTTAAATTCTTTAAGGTATTTTGACATACAAGCAAATGTTCAATTTGTTCGCCACAAATACTAAATAATGAATTGAAACAAAATTGAACACATTGAAGGTAAATAATTCTGCGTATTTAAAAGTCTGTTTTGTTAGATTAATCATGATAATAAACACTTAGTGCTTGTGTGAGGTATCTTGCATTTTCTGTTTACTGATATTTATTCATCTAAAACCGTGGGTCTCAAATAGGTTCTCGCCCCCAAGTACGAATAACTCGATGTCTTTCGGTTAACGATGGTTAACAGTGAAATTCATAATTTATTTGTTCTCCTATATGGGACTCGTCATTTGGATATACCTGAACTGCAGTGAGTGGTTGCTTTCCCAGTGTAATGCAGTCAGTGCGAAATTTAAAATATTGGTTGGGGGGTGGATTTCATCATTTAAAGAACCACTGGAAACCAGCCACAGGGAGTACTGGACGGCTAGCCGTTTCGTCAGTCTAATTCGGGAATCCGCTTCAGCAGTACGCACTCACCACAGCCGGTTCAAACTCATGACCTTCTGGTTACAAGGCTAGCGAGCTCGTAGACAATTAAGCCACTGAGACCCACCAATCCGGTGGCCAGCCCATGAATTCTAACTTCTGCCGATTCATGCACGACATAGCGCGGCCACTTCACAATGTTTTGTTCCATGAGTTACTATTTCACCTTTAACCTGCTGTACCCTAATGGTCGCAACTTCCCGTTAGAACCGCAGGTAACTGCCTAGATAGGTTGAATTATTAGCGAACATCAGATGAATTTTCAAGCATTGGTTTTGTAGGGATTTTTTTGTTTGATTGGTCGGAGGATTTCATAATGAGCTTACATCAGTTAGGGAACCATTGAAAACCAACTAGGAGTACTAGATATCTGGCTGTTTCGTCACTATATTTTGGGACTCTTCATCAGTACGCACTCACCGGGGCTCAAAGAGTTCCAAACTAGGGTGGAACAACTATCCAGTACTCTCAGGTGGTTTTTCAATGTTTCTCTAACTGATGTTAGCTCATCATGAAATCAGACAAAAAAATCCCTACGAAACCAACACTTGAAAATTTGAAATAATTTAAACGAATGACAACTGTTGCTCGTCACACAGGAAGCAGTTTCTGCAACTCGTTAGCATAATGGATAACTCTCTGAGGCATTAAACGATATTGGCTGAGTTTCAGTCACACTGGGAACACTATAACTCACTGAAGATCCATGTAAATCCAGCCAATGAATTTCAAAAAAAAAATTAAAACAAAGTAGCACATTCAACCAATACTCGAACCCAGAAGTTATCGTTTCTAACGCTAATGCATTATCCACTAGGCTAATAGATCAAGAGAGATATGAAGACTATTACTGCCCGTAGATATGGATAAATCCATCTGGTGAGTTGTAAATAAGACGAAACACATATCGTGGATCCTATTGCTAGTCACCATTAATCTCAGACACTGTCGACCAATGCATATGATTAACCTAGAAGATTATTCTCTTTTTTATTCTCAATAAAAGAGTGATTACTGTTAAGGCAGATAATTAAAGTCAATTAAATGAACTCGAATAAATAGATTTAATGAATGCGATTATCATTTATAATCAAGGAATTGATAAAATGAACAGTAAAATGAATAAACAGTACAAAATTGCCTTTAATTAGGGCTTCATTATAGTGATTATTTACTTCGAATGCATTTATTTTAAAGCACTATTTAATTACGCCTACGCAGGTGTGATGAACAGTCACACGCTCCGGAATTTAACCAATCACAATTGAGATATCTAGGTCATACAAGCCTAATTATTGACTTGATCATATTATATATATAAATAAATAAGTCTGATGGGACAATCTTAGAATTCGTATTAATTTGACTTCTCTATTTATTATTATTATTATTATTATTATGTACTGATAAATTTTGTTTTATTTGAAACAGAATGTATTGACACACCCAAAATAGAGTGTTAAATTGCTTAGATTTAGTTAGTTAATCAGTGTTAAACTGCGACGTAGAAGAAAAAAAATATGTATACATTTAGATATAATCTTGATATTAATAATATGAAAATACTTTGGCCTCAGTTGAAATCTGAGATTTTCGAAATTCACTTAGTATTTACTTAAAATTAAAGCAGACATTAAATAGTTAGTTAGTAGGGTGTGACCAATTTCATGTGTCTAGTCCTTGGCATTGGTTTTGATGAAATTAAATCAGTCTACATTACTAGGTTCACTGATGTCAGGTGTTTAGAGGCAGTTGACAAGGAGCTGGAAATCTCGGGTTTCCAGCTTTATTGAAACTAGTCAATAATCTATAGTTTGGTTTGTAAGGGTTAGTTTTGTTTCTACGACTTGATCACGAATTGATATCAGTTAGAGAACCATTGAAAACCAGATACAGGGAGTAACGAACAGCTGTTTCATCCTGGTTTAGGAATCATTTTCAGTACGAACTCGCTGCCACGGGTCGAACCCACGACCTTCCAGTTACAAGGCAAGCTCGTTTGCCACTAAGCCACTGGGACCCAATCCAATGGCTCATGAATTCTAACTTCTACCAATTCGTGATTTAGCACGACTGGCAATAACCAATGTTATCGGTGGGACATCCATCCTCACACGTGACATCTGGATGGACCTCACTAGTCACGACTTCTCACTAGAACTGCGGGAAACTCTATCCTGTAGGAAGTCACTAACGAGCATCAGATTAATTTTCTATAGTTTGGTTTTTAAAGGTTAGTATTGATTTTACGAGTTGATCACGGATTGATATGAGGATGGAGATTCCTGGAGATCTAGTGAGAAGTCGTGACCAGTAAGGTTCATGGAGATGTCACGAGTAAGGATGGATATCCCACCGACGACAATGGTTGGGGTCGCGCTAAATCATGAATTGGTAGAAGTTAGAATTCGTGAGCGACTGAATCGGGTCCCAGTGGCTAAATGGTATACGAGCTTGCTTGCCTTGTAACCGGAAGGTCGTGGGTTCCACCCGTGGCAGTGGGTACGTACTGACGATGATTCCCCCAAAAACTAAGATAAAACAGCTGTCCGTTACTCCCTGTGTCTGGTTTTCAATAGTTTCCTAACTGATATCAATCCGTGATCGAATCGTAAAAACTAGTCAATAAGGTGAATTTGGAATGTTCAAGAAAATTACGCCCATTTTAGAAAATATGGAACAATTGTTTGTTTCTCGTAGACTTGAATCTTTTCAGCAGTTATTATTATTATACCCTTGAGATCCGAGTAGAATATTGGGTTTCACCGGAATATTCCCATTTCATTTTGTTTTGTGCAGTCCTCACCTTCTGGCCTTCTCCGTACCCATAAACGGTCTCCCCGATGTCATCCTTGGACTCTCAGCTTGCCGTTTCCCATTGGAGTTCCACTAGAGGGTCTAGCCTGCAGTTTCACCCAACAGACTTCTCAACGTGTGTTCGATCCTTTTTCATTCGTGGATGGTTCATCACCTGCCAGAATTCTTTATTACTGATCTTTCGGACCGATCATTGAAATGGCGGTTGTTGATAAAAGTATGAAGCAGTGCTCGGAAAATTGCGCTTATATAGTTTTTACATAGTCGGTTCAAGTTTAAACAAAGCAAATATATATATATATATATACAATGGTAAAGGAGTTACGTAATAAAGACGAGAGATGCGTAAGATGATGAGTGACTGATAAATTAGGTAACCATGTTCTGAGTTCAACTCAAATCATAGAAACAAGAGATAAGCAAGACCACACTTCATCAAGGCGGTAACTGCGGGAGCAGTTACATTGGGAGAACAGAAAGAAGGGCACACCTACGATTTTCTGAACATCTACCGAACATCTATTCGTACCCCTGTGGTGGCTGCGTACTGCTGAACCGGATTCTCAAACTAGGCTGACGAGACAGCTGGCTGTCCAGTACTCCTTGTGGCTGGTTTCCAATGGTTCTCTAAGTGATATCAGCTTATGATGAAATCCTGTAAACAAACATTCAATTGCTGGGCTATCAAAGTATTTTGAAACTAGGGTATTTAAACCATTCATCTCAGCAAAACACACAACACCAAAGACATCCATCTCTACTATAAATAAGCTACACTATGCTTAAAACTTTGTATTACTGATTGATTGATGGACTGACTGAAGTGAGTAGTCGCATACTACTCACATCTACCTGTACCACTCAATTCACTATTTCAAAAAATCAGTCTGCAACAAACACTGTCTTAGGAGGATTGTTATAAAATCACAAATCGGCAGAAGTTAGAATTCATGGACTGGTCGTTGAAGGACAGCATGGGTTCCAGCGGCTAAATGGTATACGAGGTTGCTTGCCTTGTAACCGGAAGGTCCTAGGTTATACCGCTGGCGGTGTGGGTGCGTACTTCCGATGATTCCCAAACTCGGCTGACAAAACAGCTGTCCAGTACTCCATGTGTCTGGTTTTCGGGGGTTCTCTAACTGATATCAATCCGTTATCAACTCGTAAAAACAAAACTAGTCTTTACAAAAACCCAACTGTCAGTCCACGAAACAACTGTAATGCGGCCTCCTTAGCCTAAGTAGTTATCATTAAGTAATCAAATCCCAGACTACTTTCTCACAACTACAGTTTTTCTTTTTTTGGAATAATCTGTGCAGAAAGTAAAACAAGATCCAACGCCTACACCAACCTACTTATCTTATCTTGTCTTATCTATCCTCGAAGATAAAGTTTGTTTATTTTTCAAATATATTTTTCAAATGGAAATTACACATGACAGAAGATTAGAAAAAAACATTTCCCCGTTAAGCAGAGAATTTCAAATATGTGAAATATTTGGTTCAGGCAGGGGATGCGATGGAGTGAAGTGGAATGGACTCGAGTGAGTGGGTGGACTGATTTACTTCTCTCTAATGTTTTCTGTTTTGGTAAAAACAAAAACCGAGTATTCTTATCTTAGAAAATGAAAAAAAACACACTCCGACAGAAGTAAGTTATTCCCAGGGGTATGTATAGGGCATAAATTTAGTCTATAAAGAAAATGGCTTACTAATAGAAGCTAGGGAAACATTTTAACTCCATATTCCTTTGAGTGTGTGTGTGGAGAGAAAGGGAGAGTGATTTCTGTGCAGCTGACCCACTGATCAGTAGAAAATATGTATACAATTGTAAAAAAAAGACACTAATAGACAGAGGCTTTTGAGATTGAACACACAAAATTTGCATCGTTAGGTGTGTTACGTCAAAAAGTAGATATGTAAATTATTAACTTTGAAACAGAGAGGAAGAATTATGACTAGAACGGATGTTTCTGCACCTTTTTTTTACAATAATTTAGATAATTCCCATTGTAGCATTAAGAACACAATATTCAGCGAAGAGACTCTTTTCAACAACAAATTCATTATCAAGCTGTACAGTTGCATAGATATGGTTTTACTCAAGAAATTATATCAGGTGAGAGAATTAGGTCAAAGATGTGAATACATGAAATAATAATAATAGTAGTATGAAATATAATTAAAATATTTATTTTCTATAATTTGGTTCGTAAGGGTTATTTTCATTTTTACGACTTGATCACGGATTGATATCGGTTGGAGAACCATTGAAAGCCAGGGACTACTGGACAGCTGCTGTTTCATCCTAGTTTTGGAATAATCGTCAGTACCCACCCACTGACAGGGGACGAATTCAGGACCTTCCGGTTACAAGGCAAGCTAGCTCGTATACCGTTCAGCCACTGGGAACCATTCCAATGGCTCATGAATTCTAACTTTTACCGATTCGTGATTTATCACGACTGGCAATAACCAATGTTATCGGTGGGACATCCATCCTCACACGTGACATCTGGATGGACCTCACTAGTCACGACGTCTCACTAGAACTGCGGGAAACTCTATCCTGTAGGAAGTCACTAACGAGCATCAGATTAATTTTCTATAGTTTGGTTTTTAAAGGTTAGTTTTGTTTTTACGAGGATGGAATTTCCTGGAGTTCTTGTGAGACGTCGTGACCAGTGGGGTCCATCCAGATGTCGCATGTGAGGATGGATATCCCACCAACGACAATGGTTGGGGTCGCGCTAAATCATGAATTGGTAGAAGTTAGAATTCATGGACTGGTCATTTAGTCGAATAGGTACCAATGGCTGAATGGTATACGAGCTTGCTTACTTTATAACCTGAAGGTCCTGGGTTCGAACCCCAGTGGATGTGTACTGACGACGATTCCCAAACTAGGCTGATGAAACAGCTGTCCGGTACACCCAGGTGGTTTTCAATGGTTCTCTAACTGATATAAATCCGTGATCAACTCGTGAAAATAAAATATTTATAATTATAATCATAGTTAAGTGTCAAGTAGCGAAGCAATTAATGTCATATATTGAATAATACATAAGGTGTATAGATGTTGGAAAGGGGTGCATAATTATAGGATTAGTAGACGAATATAAAATGTAACATAACAAAGTGTGAGATTTGATAAAATATTGTAAAAATAAAAAAATTAAAAGATTAATAATTTTGGGTTTAGAATTACAAGTGAGACAAGTGGGAACAATTCAGAGTGAGAATAGTACTGATAATAATAATGATCGTAGTAATAAAGGAAAGGTACACAGAATAACTAAATAAACAAAATACGTATATAAATAAATAAATAAATGTCGATCCCTCTGTGGCCAAGGCAGAAGTAGGCATTGTACATACTTCTTTTGTACACAAAGGTCTGGCTTAAATGAATGATCAAGGTCTCTATTGTCTTCTGAAGTCTGTAACGAAAACGCGGCCAGCAAGTTAGCATGGATTCTGTATATGATGTTAAAATTATGGTCAGGGTTGACAGGGTGACAGGAGTCGATCAGGTGTTCTAGAATAGAGCTTCGGACACACATCCTTTCTCTCCTGTAAAATCATGTGGCCGGAATATGTTCTCGTATCCCTGTGGAAAGCATCCTCTGGCATTGATTGTTTTGCTACTTGACATTTAACTATGATTATAATCACAAACATTTTAATTTTAACTGCACTTCATACTACTATTATTATTATTTCATGTATTCACACCTTTGATCTAATTCTCTCACCTGATATAATTTCTTAAGTAAGGCCATATCTATACGATTGTACAGCCTGATAATAAATTCGTTGTTGAAAAGAGTCTTTTCACTGAATATTGTATTCGTAAGATCAGTGGATTTCATAGGGACATGGTTCTTTGAGTTGTATGGCGTAGTCGTTAAGTTTTGATTGGATTGTTTAAACAATCACTTCAGGGCTGAATTCAAAATGACTTGAGCATTCTTGGAACTTTTCGTGTAGTAAATAACGCGTTATTTATCCTAGGCGCCAACCGCCATCAAAGTTCACTAAGGGAAATTCACACTCACCTTTGACATTCTTGACGATACAGTGTTGTATTCAACATATGCGCAAACCACATCAAGTAGACATCGTTTGGAGCACCAGTATATAGTTTATAACGTCCAGCCAACGGTAACCATAGTACTTCATATCGGTATAAAATAATTTTATACACTAAGCTTTGATCATCTTTGCATACATTTGAAAGTAATCGATTCAGAGAATTTTCCGCCATTGTTAAAATTTTTATCAATCTTTTACATCCTCTTAATACATCAATAGTAATTGGAATTTTCTTTGAATTATAAGTAGACTTAAAAATATTTTGTAGTTGATTTTGTAAAAATGATACATGATGATGATGGTGATTATACTCATCGGAATAGATGTCGTTTGAATTAGGCGGAGAAGTATTTTCAAGGTTATCACTGGCGGTTTGTTTTAATGATGAATGCGTATTGACTTCTGATGTGTATGTGAAGTCTTGGTCGTTTACGCTGTCATTGTATTCATTTAAGGAATTTATGTTTTCTGTCATTATTTAACGTATTAGACAGAAGATTACAAACGATTCTTCTCTCTAAAATTGTACACAGTAATAAAAGAAAAGGAAATTATTAGTTACAAATATGCACTCAATACGGTCTCAAATGATTTTGAATAGGTCTGGACTAGTAAGTAGTCCAAAGCATTATCAATGTAGCTATTAGACTCAGCTGCCAACGAGTTCATCAGGTGAATGCAGTCATCAGCATGAGTAATTTTCAGCTGTCATGTGAATGAATGATAGATTACTGATCGAAACTTTGTTATCCTGATGAAGAGTCCCAAACTAGGACGAAACAGCTGTCCAGTACTCCCAGTTTTTCCAGTGGTTCTTTAACTGATGTCAGCTCATGATGAAATCCTCCATGAAATTCTACTAACTGTCAAGGTCATGGCCTCTCGTCAGTCAACAGTTATCCCACGTAGTCTCACCATCACACATATGATAAAGAAGTAGCTCCAAAATCCCTTTAGTTAAGGATACATATGCATATATTTACTTATTACCTAGGTTCTTTTGGTTCAGCGACTTTAAAGGTAAATTGAGATGCAATCAGTGAACGATATTCCCAGTTCATCCATCCAAAATGATAGTTGGTTATTAAATGATAGTGATTCTACAGTCAAAAAAAAGTTATATTAACCCACAGTTCCGTTAAGACCAGTGGTAGATTTCACCAACTCACCGACATACAAACTCTCCAAATACTTATTTTTGATACTACAACCACTGCAAAAAGACACTCAAAATATTGTAAAATATTCGTATGATTTCAAATTCCAAACAGAAAACCTAGAAATTGATAAAGAAGACATTATGGTAAGCTATGCTATTAACTTATTATATACTAATATCCTTATTATTGAAAGTCTTAACATCATTTCCAGTCTACTAGAATCAGATACAACGCTATCACAAAGATGTCCACTGGACACCAGTGAAATAATTAAGAACTTAGAATTCCTTATAGAAAGTAAATATTTTACATTAAAAGAGAGTTTATATAGAAGGACAAATGGTGTTGCTATGGGTTCACCAGTCTCCCCAATAGTCGCTGACCTTTCCATGAATAGATTCGAAAATAGCATCTTTTCAAGCATACTCACTCCCAAAATGTGGTTAAGATACGTAGATGATACTTTTGTAGTGCTGAAACAAGATCTACAGAGTTCATTCCTGGAGAAAATAAACTGTACATCTCCCAGAATCCAGTTAATTTCAGAAGCAGAATCAGACGTCGGTGAACTACGGTTTCTAGAGAGCCTGGTTAGTTGAGAAGAGGGAAAATGGACATTTTAGTATATCTATACTCGGGAAGAAAACCCATTCCAACAAATATTTAAACTTCAGATCATCACACTCGATCAGCGGAAACATATCGGTTCCTTCAAGTCTTCTTAGACGAGCACACTATTTGATGTCAGTGGATGAGAAAGAAAAAGAAGAAATATCAAACATTACTGAAATTCTCTTGAGAGAAAAATAACTGCTCAAAGAACTTCATCAACAAAATCAACACTTACATAAAGTAGGGTCGGAAACGTATTCCGAAAACGTGCATCTGAACAGTTGTCAGAGACATCAGACGATATCAGAAGAGTACTCACTAAGCACAACATCAGAGTTCTTTTCAAAACCTCAGACACACTGAGAAGCAACCTTGTTCATATAAGAGACCGAATCCCTAGAGATTCTCTATCTAATTGTTTCTATTAAAAATAGAATGTGATGTGATGTACATCGGACAAACCTCACCAGAAAGAAATCAAAATAATTGAAAACCGAAGAGTGAGTGTTTGTTTGACCACCGAGAAATCCAGTTGAACTAGAAAAGCTTGAAGAAAAATGATCAGTTATATCTCGTCGACACGCTGTAGAATCAGGTTACAAAATTGATTTTGACGATACTGAAATCATCATCCAGAAAAAGCACTTCAGAAATCACAGTTGGCGTCTAATATCATAAGAAGCACTTCATATCAAGTGGAATCAGAATTGTCTGAGCTGATTAGGAATGATGGACTAAAACAGAATTTGACGTGTTTACACCATGCTCCCGTCTCTCATTGAAATGACAAAATCAAAATGAATGTGATAAGCGATTTCATTATGTAAAAACATGCTGCTTTTATAATTTTATAAGCTTATCAAATCCAACAACCTACATTTGCTTTAGTTATCGCTACCAATTGGCCAACTTGATGACGCAAAAATTATCCCATGTTGATGAACTCTGATTAAGTTGTTATGTGAATAAATAAGCTGAGTGGATTTTGTAAATTCTGGTTTAATAATACTACTTTAACAAAGCTATTAGCAGCAACATTAAATAGAGAATCGTCAGTAAAAGCGAAGATATCGTTTTGTTTTTTCATTCATCGGGAAATACAAAAAAACCCTCGTTATTATAATGAATATCACATATACCTAATGCCGAAATTTTTTCAAACCGTTAAAAGTCAACTTGGTTTAGACATATAAAAAATGATAGTGAGATTATCTGAAATAGTCTGTGGATTTAAGATTATTAGTGAGGTAATCAGTTGTGTTGAAGAGTTATATAAGATGAACGATTTTGGCTGAGTTTAAACCAGTGGCTTCTGGATTATTAGCCAAAGAATGTTTTACCATTTAAAGATGTTGTTAGCTGTACACATTTCAAGATAACCGACTTTCCCTAAGTAAAATAAATAACAGTTATAGGTCAAATGCTAGATCATATGGGATCATAGGGTACAGCAGGTCAGATGTGAGGACAAATACTCGCCAAAGACATTAACTAGCGGTCGCGCAATGTAGTGAACTGGCAGACGTTAGAATTCATGACTGCGTCAATGGTGAAGCGGTTAGGACGCTTGCCCACCATACACATGGTCTGGAGTTCGATTCCCGTCCACCGACGAACTCCTTTACCTCGCTGAGCCAGGAATAAAACTGGTAAAGATCAAAGATTGGGCATGAGGCTAGCATATCCATCCTGTAAAAGTAAACACCACTGCTGCCCCTAGCTTGAAGCCCCATGTTCCACTGAAAAAGTAAAGGAATAAAAAAGAATTCAAGGACTGGCCATTGGACTGATGCGTCTCAGTGGCTTTATTGTCTACGAGCTAGCTCACTTTGTAACCAGAAAGTGCTGGGTTCGACCTGCAGTTTGGTAGGTGCGTACTGCTGAAGAGTCTCGAACTAGGGCTTAACAGCCATCCAGTACTCCCACATGGTTTTCCAATGGTTCTCTGACCGATGTCAGCTCATGATGAAATCCTGTAACCAATTAAACGCATCCATACAAACCAACACTTGAAAATATTCTGATTTTTATTGATCCTAACTGATAGAACTCAGTAGACAATAAAGACTAAATAGAGTTACGTTCTCAACGGTTCTCAAGGTGATACCAGTCAGTTCGTGACCTAACCCAGATCCAATTAAATACCTATAAGCCGAAACTGATAGCTGAATACAGGAATACGTTTCTTAGGGTTCTTCTGAGAAGTCTTAACTAGCAGAATACATCAAGTTCAGTCTGAGGACAAGTACTTCCCGATTACCATAACTGGTGGTACAACTATATATCTCACATAAGCGGAAATTCGAATCCCCTGGTGAACTTTTGAATTCAGTTCCACTGGTTGAACAGTCAGTAGATCCATCTTGTAGGCTAAATATACCTAGTTTGATCCTCGTTGAGAGAGTCATCGGTGTGTTCACCTGAACAGTCTCAAACTTAGACTAAATATCTATTCAGTGCTCCGTAGTATTCAACGGTTCTCTCTGAGTGATTTCATTTTGTGAACTAAGTTGAATTGTAATAACGGTAACCGTCCACTAACCAGTGGACGTATCCATGACGGTGGTGTGTATTTAAACGCGAGTTTAAGTGCAGTCTTCTTATTGTAGACTATTTAACATCTCACGTACGATTTCATCATGAGCTGACATCAGTTAGAGAACCACTGGAAAACCTGGGAGTACTGGACAGCTCATGTTGAAATCCTCTATTCAATCAAACAAAAATACCTTCAAAATCAATACTTGAAAATTAATCTGATGCTCACTAGCAAGTGGCCCTATTCAGGCAGTGACGTGGGGTTCTAGGGAGAAGCCGTGACCAGTAGGGTACAGCAGGTTGAAGATGAGGCAGTAACTCATCAAAGAAGACATTGCGAAATGGTCGCATTATGTGGTGAGTTGGCAGAAGTAAGAATTTAAGGACCATAAGATCAGATCCCAGTGGTTCAATAGTCTAAGAGCTCGCTAGCCTTGTAACCAGAAGGTCCTGGATTCGAACCCGTGGCAATGAGTGCATACTTATGAAGAGTCCCAAACTAGGATGAAACATTTGTCCAGTACTCCCAGTTGGCTTTCCAATGGTTCTCTAACTGATGTCAGCTCATAACGAAATCCCCCGATCAATCAAACAAAAATCCCTACAAAACCAATACTTGAATATTTAACATCTATCAATATGTTTTTAGCATATTCAAATGTTTCAAGGAAAGCATCAGTCTTACAAGTATTTTGCTGGAAAACACGAAAAAATTTAAAGAACAGGCGAATTTAAAAATAAAATGTGGTCAAACAATAAATGATGACTAGGTGTCGAATTCTGAATGAGTACTTCGTCCTACTTAGAACATGTCGACTGACTACACCTTCTCCTTAAAGTAGTAATAGTGTTCTCATACTGGATAACGCTTTGGTGTTTGAAACGATGTGTGTTGGCAGGACTTAAGTCTCTGGGGGAACACCGCTTTATACTAATGACTCAAGTACATCCAGCCTGTAAAGACCCAAGTAGGACGAAATGTACATCTTTGATTTCACTATTGACCAAAATCAACTAAAGAGCTTTGTAATGGAATCATTGCTTGGAAAATCCCTCCTGGATGTTTCAACTAACTTAGCCTCCCAGGACTGAATACCTCTGTCGTGACATTTACATATCTTCTATTGACTTAACGCTTAATATTATTCGTCTTAATCTCTAATGTTCGTAATTCTCTTTGTAGCTGTCTTATGACATCGATTTTTTT